TTTTTTTTCCACTGGTTCTGTTTACCTGAATAAATCTATTCATTTGGTCCAGAGCAAAGGGAACAGTGAAATTGCAATAATTAGCCACAAAGCAAGAAGTCAAAAACTAACCATATTAACTAAACAAACCACCACAGAAATAGCAACACAGTCTACAGCTCATTTCCAGATAGTCTTTTCTGCACAGAATATTTTGCTCCTGTGCAGAAAAACAAGTTTCTAGTTATTTCCACTTAACATGCTATGATAAAATATAAAACAAATAAACTCTATAAATCATGGATAATCCTTCAAAGAAATTCATGAATCAGGTACTTTAAGAACCACTCATGAAATATTGGTCTTAGAATCTTTAAAATTTCACGCAGGACCATAAAGAACAAAATTTACCTCTAGTAAATCAGAGCCCTCAGATTCCTGCCTGTCATATGGGCGGATGATGCCATCTTCATGGATCAGACGAGGTGGACGGAGGCTAGATACTTCCTCAGTTGATTCTGCTGCCCTGAATAAGACAGCAGAAAATATGTAAGAATCCTCCAAAATCAGACAAATTTATGTTGATTAAACTCAGAAATGTTTTATTAAATATTAAAAACAGTTATTAGGTTTAAAGAATTTGCTCAAAGTAAGGCAGAAACTATTAAAACAAACTCTGTCTGACTCCAAGCCCCACTCTTTTTCTTCAAGAAAAGAAAATATCAAATAATGAAAGTACCTAGGTCACCTATGCTTCATAGCCTTGGTATCTAGTAATGCCTGGTATATGGTAGGCACAATAAACATGTTGAATAAAAGAAACTGAGCCATAGAAGATGCTTTTCTTATTCCTTCCCATGGCACTTTGCCTTATGAAGCTGTCACCTCTTCCAATTGGACTCAAGAGCCTTCAGAGCAGGTTAAATATCCAGCCCATTCATATATTCCCAGCAACAATGGGCACACAGCAGCACAACATGCACAATGTGGAACCCGTTACCTCTGAATGCCTTGGAAGGTGCTGCTGGCCATGTCTATGATTCCGCCAGTTGGACGAGCCACAGCACCCACAAGTCCTTTTCCAATTCCTTTAAAGAAGCCAGCAGCTCCCTCTTTCTTGGCACCTTGAGGAAACCAAAGGCCTTGAATATGCACTGCTATTTTGATTAAGATAAGCAAGTTGTTTCAACTCAACAAAACCTAAACCAAACTCAGGAAGCTAGAAATATTTGACTGCCTGGAGAAGTTACAATTAATCTTAACTAAATACAGATTCCTGGGCCTGGGAACAGACATGCTGAACCAGCCACAGAGGGCTGGCAGCCATCTCCATGTGAGCCTGAGGTAAGAAATAAGCCCAAGTTTGAAAAGCACTGATCAGAGGTTTAGTCAGTTTGTGCCCAGAAATTCCACAAACTAACCAGAAAGCATTTACTTAATTGATGACAGCCATTAAGCTCTTTAACAAGTATACTTTAAAAAAATTAAGTTTTATTGAAACTACTGCTCACATCATAAAATGTAAAAATTAAATGCTTTTCAATATATTCAGAGTTATGTAAATACCATCATCTATCAATTTAGAAAATCTGTGTAATCTCAGGAAGACAATCCATGTCTATTAACCATCATTCTCCACTTCCCCTAACCTCTCATCTGAATCTATCCAATGTCCTTCCTTGTCTCCATGCTCCTTCCTCACAGCTGAGCAATCACCTAGAAACACTTTCTATGGAGTTGCCTATCTTGGACATTTCATCTGAGTAGACTAATTCAGTGTATGGTCTATTCTGACTGGGCTATTTTTACTTAGCATCATGTTTTCTAGGTTCATCCACATTGTGCATGTATTACTATGTTGTTTCTTTTTACAGTTGAATAAATATTCCATGGTACAGATATGTATCACTTGATGGACAGTTAGGTTCTACCATGTTTGGGGCTATAGTGAATAATACAGCTATGAACGCTCACACATAAAATTTTGTTTGAACATCTGTTTTCAACATTTTAGGGTTTGCACCTCCAGAGAATTTCTGAGTCATAGGGAATTCCATGTTTAACTTCAGAGGCACAGCCAGGATATTTCCTCCACAGTGGCTGCACTACTGTACATTCTGATCAGCAGTGCACTGGGGCTCCAGTTTCTCCGCATTTTCACAACACTGGACTTCAGTCACCCTAGTAACTGTTAAGCAACATCTCATCTTGATTTGATTTGCATTTCCACAGTTCTTTGATGACTAAGTAAATATGCTTATTGGCCATGCTGTATTGTATTATTTGGAGAAAATTTTATCTGTTCATATCCTTTGCCCATTTTAACTGAGTTGTCTGCTTCCTGTTAACTTGCACAACTTCTTTATATATTTGAGGTATAAATTTCTTATCAAATGCTTTTTCCTTTAATGAGGGTGTCCTTCAAAGCATAAAAAGTTTAAATAAGGTAGACTATCTTTTTCTTTCTTCTTGGTGTCCTTCAAGACATAAAACTTTAAATTTTGGAGAAATCCA